ATCCCCCCATGCCCCACATGGATATGGTTCCCTGCCCCCCTCAACACTTTCAGCTCCCCATGATGCCCCCCTCTGGGCAGGGGCAGGATGCAGCAGACGGAGGAGAGGAGGAGAATTTGGAGACTCCAGCTGCTGTTACAGCCAGAGCAATGGGGGATGTGGTAGCTGGCCAGCAACCTGGGGGCTTCAATTTAAACCCTTGCAGGCTGCATGCAGCCCATGGGCCAAGTTGTACAGCCCTGATCTAGCTCATAGTATGAGCTTACGGGCTGATGGGACAAAATGAGCTGACATAATCCTTGGAAGTACAAACAGGGAATAAAAATGTGCTAACATTTTAAGAAGGATATTGGAAAAACTGGAGACTGAGAAAAGTGTCATAAAAATAAGGATTGGGAAAATTTCCTTAGAATGAGAAATTTGGAGCTGAATCTGTTTAGCTTAACAAAAAGGTGTGATATTGTGTGACAACAGGAGAAAAGACCGAATCTGAAAGAACTGCCTCATCTAGTGGAGAAAGATGCAGCAAGAATAGGGTGACCATACATCCCACACTTCATAGGCTGGAACTAGACAGTTGGTGAAAGTCCCAGAGGCAGTCGGACATGGAAGCAGGGCACAGTCCAGTGGGGAAGCAGAGTGGCATGGTATGCCAGGCAGGTGGATGAGCAGGCACTAGGAGCAAGGTGGGCAGACTGAAGCAATGCCCAGCCTACTCCCCACCTCCAGCTGCTGTTTAGGAGAAGCTGGACTGGGCATACATACCATGTTGTTCCTCCTCCCCAACAGACTGTGCCCTGTGCCCTTGCCTGCCTACCTCTGCCTCTAGTAGTGCTAGTGACTTGTGGGGGAGAGGGAGCAGTGTCCTGGATTTCCTTAAAAATCATATCACCACCCTAAACAAGAACCAATGGCTGGAAGCTAAATCCAGATAGATCCAAACTAGGAGAAAGGCATGCATCGAATATGATGATGAGGTGAACACTGGAACAAAGTGTAAAGAAAAGAGGTAGATTTCTCTGCTTCATGACATCTTCATACTCTGACTCAGTGCCTTTGCAACATACGTTTTAGTTAGAAACAAGTTTCTGATCTCAACACCACAGGGTCAAGTGGATGAAATGTCATGGCCTGTGAAATATAAAAAGTCAGATTAGATGATCTAAGGATCCATCTGGCCTTAACAACTATGAATCCCTTGCATTATAAAGCAGTATTTTTTTTTTTGAGATCTGTGAAAACATGTCACTGCTTAAAACTAATTTAATGATAAGTATTCTGGTCCCTGATCCTGCAATTGCTTCTTCACAGGGATCTGAAAGGTTGAGGAGAGAAAAAGCTATTTTCAGGCTGCGAATTATGCTGTGGCAGAGATGTTACTGCTATGGTTTGAGAGAGAAACTGTATTATCAAAAAAATCTGTTGCAGTCAAGCATAGCAGAAGCTTTTTTTGGGGGGGGGGGGGGG